TTTTTTTTAACAAATTATAAATGATTTACATATACATATTTATTGCAAACATAAAACAAGAAACAATTGATCTTTAGTGGTTATATGATACTCACTTTATCTAGAAGTCCAAGGTTCAAATTTTTTAACAGCAAAAAATTTATTGACAAATTTTTAAATCTTGGTCAAACCAGTTTAATCGGCCAAGTTAATATAAAAATCGCCCAGTTAACTTGGTCAACTCGATTTTGACCGAGTCAATTTCATTTTTATGAAAATGTTCTACCTGTCCCGGTCAAGGGCTCGGGTCACCGGTTCCCCAAGCCGAGTTTTATAACTATGATGGCGCGTTATAATTTCCCAAACTTTATTTAGCATTTGTTTGACTGGCATTCTTTAAAAAAATATTTTTTTTAAAAAGTAATTTAATATAATTTCTATCACAAATTCTTCAATAAAATAATACTATACGCAAATTCAAAAATTTTTCTTATTTTTTAATCACACATTTTTATCTATACACTATTTAAAAATACATTCTTATCAAAAGAATGTGGCTCAAACAAGGGCTTATAATCCAACAAGTTCAAAGGGTGAAAAGAAATCCTTAACAATTAAGAAAATGTTATATGCAAAACAATTAAGAAAAGACCAATAACCTAACTAAATACTTCAAATGGTGAAAAGAAGCCTTAACAATTAAGAATAGGTTCTATATGCAAAAAAGGTTATATAAATTAAGAAAAGGCCAATAACCGAACCAGTCCGGTCCAAAAATACAATATTTTTGAAATATTATTCTATAAACACTGAAAAAACCTCCAAAGGTGACCATTCGCTATTTGCGTATATCAGTCTCCACGCGTTTCGCCTTCAATTTCTCTCTCTAAATTAGTCCAGTCTCTCCACGCTACACGTCTTGGACTCTTTCTCACTTTATATATACGTATATATAACGGATATGTACTCCACAATGTATAAGTATACACGTTCATGTATATGTATATAGCTGCGTGCGTATTCAGGTATTCATAGACCACCGCCAACAGTGGCTGTGTCGGCAGATCAGTCGGTTCCTGTGTAGATCACAGTGTTTACAGCTCCAATCACTGAAAAGGGCCCAATCTTCGTAAGTCTTCTATTTTTCTTGAGGGTTTTGTGTTCGTGTCTTACATGAATATATAGATACCATCTTTTGTCCAGGATGATCTGGAACTGACTCTAATTCCTAGCGAAATTCAGTTTTGATTCAAGTGATGTAATGGATATAAATATGTGATTGTGTATATATCGGAAAAGATCTCAATTTTATAATACGCATATTAATATACCCATAACAAGAAGTCAAGAATCAATATACATAGATATAGATGTAGGATTGATTTTATGTTTTAATGTATATTAAGATATTTTTAGTATTGATATTCGCTGTTTTTCAACTGAATTTGGTTTACAGGGTCTACATCTACCCACAAAATTTAGAAAGCGGATTGGGGTTTTGTGGTATATATCCAGAATCGAGTGCTATCAATAGTTGGGTAAATAGTTCATACAATGGCAGCAAGTACGATCAGAAAGGCAATTGGGGCAGTGAAGGACCAAACAAGCATAAGCATAGCCAAGGTGGCCGGCAATGTTGCACCTGACCTTGAGGTCTTGATTGTAAAAGCCACAACCCACGATAACGAGCCTGCAGATGAGAAATATTTAAGGGAGATATTGAATTTGACGTCTTATTCAAGAGGGTATGTGAACGCCTGTGTTACTGCAATTTCAAAGAGATTGAGCAAAACCCATGATTGGATTGTGGCGTTGAAGGCCTTGATGTTGGTCCATAGGCTGCTGAGTGATGGGGACCCAATTTTTGGACAGGAGATAATGTATGCCAGTCGGAAGGGGACAAGAGTTCTAAACATGTCAGATTTTCGAGATGAGGCTCACTCGAATTCGTGGGACCACTCAGGGTTCGTGAAGAGCTATGCACGTTATCTGGATCAAAAGCTTGAGTTTATGGTGTATGAGACGAAATTGAATGGTGATGATGACAACAAAAAGAGTTATCAGGATGAGTATGGAGAGTTCAGGGATGATCGTGATTTTGGGATGAATAGGTCAATGTCTTATGGTGATCTAAAAGGCCCAACAAAGGAAGTGACACCTGTTAGGGAAATGAAACCTGAGAGAATTTTGGAGAGGCTCAATCAATTGCTTAGGCTTCTTGATCGTTTATTAGCTTGTAGACCAACAGGCTCTGCAAAGAACAGCAGAATGGTGATCATAGCTCTATACCTGCTTGTGAAGGAGAGTTTTAAACATTACACTGATATATGTGAGGTGTTGGGAATTTTGTTAGATCGATTTTTGGAAATGGAATATGTTGAGTGTGTTAAGGCTTTTGATGGTTATGTAAATGCGGCAAAGATGATTGATGAACTTGCTGGCTTTTATAATTGGTGCAAGGATACAGGAGTTGTGAGGTCATCAGAATTCCCGGAAGTGCAGAAAATTACTGACAAGCTTTTGGGGACACTTGAAGGGTTTTTAAGGGAAAAGGCAAATAGGCCAAACAGCCCTGAGAAAAGCAGGAAAGCTACTATTTCTCAAATTAAAGATGACAATGCACCGAACATGAATGAAATAAAAGCACTTCCTCCACCAGAGGACTACAGTCCTCCTCTTGCACCAGAGCCCCAACCTGTACCACAGACTCATCAAGTAACTGAGGAACTGGTGAATTTGAAGGATGATGGGGCATCGGCTGATGAACAAGGCAACAAATTGGCTTTGGCTTTGTTTTCTGGACCTGCTGCTAAAAATCCAAATGGTGCATGGGAAATATTCCCGACAGATGGAGAGCATGAAGTGACTTCAGCATGGCAGAATCCAGCTGCTGAGAGTGGTATAGCCAACTGGGAATCAACCTTGGTCGAGTCAGCTAGCAATTTAGCAAAACAGAAGGCTGATTTAGCAGGAGGTTTTGATTCACTCTTGTTGACTGGTATGTATGATCAGGGGACAGTGACGCAGCATGTAAATATTTCTCAACTGAGCAGTGGGAGTGCAAGTAGTGTGTCATTGCCTGTGACAGGCAAAAGTGCGACACCTATCTTGGCATTGCCTGCTCCTGACGGAACAGTCCAACCAGTCGGGCAACAAGATCCGTTTGCAGCATCTCTATCTGTGCCACCGCCATCCTATGCTCAAATTGCAGATATAGATAGGAAACAGCAACTGCTCACACAGGAGCAGCAGATTTGGCAGCAATACGCGAGTAATGGGATGCAAGGCCAATTGGGCTTGGCCAAAGTTGCTGGCACTGCTGGTTATTATGGTGCCGGAATGCAATCCATGATGTCTTATGGAATGCCGCAAGTAACGGGCTTGGGTCAACCTGGGGGTTATTACTCACCATTCTAAGTCGATTCTCAATAATGTTCATATCCAAGCCCCTGCCTTTCTTATTTCATATGGTATCATCTACTGTGCTACATTTTGCCTTTTCCTTGACAATTTTGCAAAATAAGAATGAAATCAGGATAAAGAGATTATCATGCTATACGTGAATATTGCTTTTGAATGCTTTGTTTCGTATCGTATGTAAAAGATCAAAAAGAGTATGTTAGAATTATTCGAATTATATTTTTATCAGCATTTTCAAGAGACTATTTAAACATGAGATATTTTTTCAATTAGTCTATATGAGTACAGGAAATACCCACAGAATTGGTACAAATTTTTGAATTTGCTGAGTTGGAATAGAAAATTCGTTTTTTATTCACTTGTCAATTGCTTGCCTGTATTAAACCCATAAACCGGAGCAAACAAATTTTCTTTTAACAATTCACTCGTCTTCATTTCCCCCCAAATCTGTAACGCAAGAGGAAGACCAACAGCTCTTCATTTCCCCCAAAATCGCAGGCAAGAGGAAAACCGCCCCTTTCTTCGTCGTTGGCATCTGGACCACTGCTTGACGAGCACCATTGGACGTAGCCCACTGAAACTGAACGTGCAAATTTTCTTTGAAGACGGTAGTGAAATATAAAGGTAGTTATAAATTATAAAATTGATTCGAGAAGCTATTTTACTGACGACTCTATTATTATTATTATTTTTTTTGGGGTTTGATACGTACCTTAATTGACAGGAAATTGGCTAAGTCCTATATTAATTTAACGACCTCATGTGCCACTATTTATTTTTCGCATGTTCATTATTGCTAGTGGCGGGGTTGTGCTTTGAGTTACATGTAATTTACCACTTCTAACAAAATCACGGCATTTGTTGCAAGAAAAGAGATTATAGAAGATGAGAATCGTGATTTCTTGGTAGAATGTGATGACGAGGAAATTGTTTAATGAAATCACAAACCGGTATATCACTCTATTCTTAATGGTGCGATGTTTGGGTGTACAAGGCTTCTACAGTTTAGTTTCTTCGCATTTCTTGTTGTAGCCATGAGGGTGATGTTTATTTACTTTATCAATCTGGTGCCATGGGTTCAAGGTCCTCAATGGGAGACTGCAGATTTTACAGTAAAATGGTTCTGTGCCAATTTGATTGTGGGATGTATATTTTCTCTTGCCGTATTGCTATTTTCTTGGCTCTCAGAAGATTGAAATATCTCAAGTACTTTGTCCTTGTATATATTAAAATAAAAAAATAAATGATATTGGCAAATATTTTCTTTTAGGCTTTCATATTTATTACTACATTTCCCTTCAAAAATTTATGTGGACCGAAAACCATGAATAGCTGGTCTGCTAACTAAGCATTACAACAATTCGCAAAATATTAAACTTGAAGAAGCCTACTAAGTATTACAACAATTCGCAAAATATTAAACTTATGTCCAAAGCTCGAATGACGTTGACAAAAATAAGTGTTGGACATCGAAGACTACTATGACCAAAAAGTTCTTAAGGTATAAATAAAGCATATAACAACTACAAATTGATATCACCCGTTCACGTCGGTCCCTTCCCACCACTTTCTACAATTCCTTTTCCTTTGAGAAATGTAACGTGCAATGTTATGTCAACATCTCGTTTTTCAGTAATTCGGGCTAGGCTGTCTAAGACTCTTAGCAAGTCTTCGTATTCCTCGTTGGGCTCATGCTTCACCTCTTCGTTTCCTCTCATTCTACTCAACAACTACTGACGAAACAAAAAATATCGATCAAAAGTAGCTAATTGGCCTTTTCCTACTTGGCCACTTTAATGGTCTTCTCTCGCATGCTACAAACTGCAAACGACAATCGAAAATCATATCGATCAAAATCACTTGAGTAAATGGAATATGATTCAGTAGTATTATATTTTCTTAGATTTGATCACGTTGAATTTTGCTGAAACTAAATCTTTTTAGGCTTCTCTTATATCTTCCCTTGTTAGATGTTTTTATAGGAGGTTAATGGTGGTATGTTTAGTTACAGTATATTTTTACTGCTTGTTAGATGTATTCTCTTGTTGCATTGAGTCTTACTACTCACCCCATGTGCGTATAGTAGCTTAACAGAAGTAGGCACACTGAAGCATATTCTATATGAAAAACACCCCTGTTTATGAAAAATGAACAAAATACCACTCTTTATGAAAAATGAACAAAATACCTTTGCCCAAAAATTTATGAAAAATACATTTGCCTAGAACAAAATACCCCTCTCTATGAAAAATGAACTTAACAATCAAGCTCAGAAATTTAAGAACGAACTCACTAATTTATGAAGAACAAGAAATCAAATACTTCAAATGTATATCTAAATAAAGAAGAAATAACACTCAAATCATGTAAACAAGTCTAACACAGCCTAAACCGTAAATTAACCTTAAATTTGATGAAGGAATGCATAAATCAGTAAATAACAAAATACTTTTACCCAGCATCTACGATTCAACTGCCATCTTCAAATGCTATTTCGACTTTGGGCGTCGGTGGGCTGCTAATGCAGGAGGATCCGAGTCGAGTGATGTTGATTTGTCAGATAGCACGATGATGGCGCTGAGATACCATGAGATGGCGGATCGGAGCAAAGATGGAAAGTGAATCACAATTATTTCCTTAATTGGAGAAATTTGACGCGTCTTTGGTAATTTGGCCATAACTTTGGTTACGGTTATCAAAATCGCTATTATGACCCCAATCCGAAAAGCTCTCTTCGGCGCGCACGTTGTGGCCGGTGGGTGTCAATTTCGAGCCCAAAATCCACTATTTTCCTTTTCAAAATTCAATTTTTAGTTATTTTTTTACTATTTATGGTAATATTTCGTTCCCCTTTTTCCATATATTAGAAAACTCGAATTGAGCCAAATTTTTGGCAACTTACTTCTTTTACTTAATATTTTATTTTGGTATAATTTTGGGATTTTGCCATTTTTGTAATATTCCCATAAATTCGTATTTTGCAGCTATTTAACTCGTCTTGTGGGTTAATTTTCATCATTCTGCATTATTAATAATATTGAGTTGAATTCAGAGTATTTTCTCTAGTTTTTGGGCGTTTTCTATCGTTTCTTTCTTGCGAATCATCTGCTACAACAAGCCAATAGGATAATTACTATCCTACTCGGCGTCAGCTGCCATCTTCGCACTATGTCCGATGGTGCCGGTCAGTTGTCCAAATGTCGGCGATGAAGAAACGAACAGGTTTCCTCTTGCTCTATGATTTGGGGGATATGTTTTTGGGGGGAATGAAATCTGGTTTATTAAAAGGGTCAAAGTGAATTGTTAGGAGGAAAATTGGTTTGCTCCGGTTCATGGGTTTAATACATTTAAAACGGCTGAAAAGGACAAGCAATTGACAAGGGAATAAAAAAAGAATTTTCTATTCCAACTCAGCAAATTCAAAAAATCTGTACCAATTCTGTTGTTATTTCCTGTACCCATAGACTAATTGATATTTTTTACCTTAAAGAGCCAATCTTTAAAATCAAGCTCCAAAAGAGTGAACGGGTTTGACTCTCCAAATTTGAAAAGCAAAATCCACTAGATATAATTAAATGCATTTAGAGTATTTCAATTTGCAATGTATGAAAATAATAAAATAATCTAAAGAAAAGCTCGTTAAAAAAATAAAGAAAAATATTAAATATTTTTTTGGAAAAGTAAAATTAAGTATTAAGTATAAAGAGTTCATCGGAGTACTTTAAAATTTTAACTCTCTAAATTAATAGATACTCTCCAAATAATAGAATATGCTCCATAAAAATAGAGAATCTTTTGAAATGCTCTTAAATCGAGTCTTTTTAGTTCGGTTGCTGACTCTGATAGGCCCTTGTGACTTGCTCATATGTGTTTTGGTCTCAATATATGCAGAAGAATTTGCACTTCTATATCTAATACTACCATTGCAGGACTTTTGAAGCATACTGTGTCTAGAGCCTTGCACTATACCGTGATTGAGATGTATTCAAATTGTATGTTAAGCCTATTGTCTTGTGTAGCGTTGTGATTTGAGATGATACGATAGGACAAAAATGACATTCTTTAATTTTTGTAAAGGGATGGCCATAAAGTTCAACGGCTAAGTATCTCAATCCTTGAGTCACTTAGATCAGAAGGAGATTTGGTTCTCTCTATTTCCGGGTTGGGTGGATGAGGAATCCATTCTCGTGAACAAACACAGCCCCTACACACACCTTGGAGCACTCCCTTTGCAGCGTCTTTTTTTCTATCTCCAATTTTTGAGAAGAAAGAAGATTGTCTTGAATTCTAGTATAGTTAAGAAGAAGATTATTTTTTCATTCTCTGGTGGGGATGTCGTGCTATAAAAGCCTGAATCTATGTAGACACTTCACTCACATGAACATAATATGAGTATGGAAGCTAACTTATGATACAATCAAGCTCATTATATAGTCATTGAGTTTAAAGTAAAATAAATTTACAGTTTGATTGAGTATTTACATGGATATTGTATGCCGTTATTTATGTGAGATCGCACATGTTATTTGATCATGGTATAGCGATTGGTCATGTGAGGTTACATGTGTTATTTAGCCACTGTTTGACAATGTAAAATTGAGTTTTGAATAGTAATTTTTAGAAGAATATGTGGTTTAAAAATATGTAAAAATTTTGAGTTTACATACAGAATATTTTATTTTATGATGTAAAAAGAGTTTTGAAATATTGATTGCCAAATAGGAGCTTAATCATGATATAGTGATTGGTCATAATAGTTACAATCTTTAAATGTTTTAAAGTAATGATCCCATGAGAGCTCGAGTTAAACCCATGTTTAGCTAATAATTATAAACTCTTTTATTTATACATTTTATGTTATCTACAAGTATTACTCACTCATTTATCACTCATTTCTATCTTTCATGGTTTAAGTCAATTATAAATAACTCCAAGAACTCGTGGGTTTTGTTCATCAATCAAACGAGGAAGCCTACCTTTGTTGATGAAACAAGTGTCCTAGACAAACTATTGTGATTTACATGTATTTTTCCATAGTCACATGACTTGTTCCAAGTATCGATAAGGCATAAAAAAATAATGGATAATGTCATTTGTACACTCTCATGCTTATAGCTTAGTTGATATTGTCTTGTTGTAAAAAAGTGATTGGTTGAAAAATCCTTTTTTTTTTAAACTGTCAAATCACAATTTATCATGCAACAAAGTGTATGATTGAAAATTAAAAACATTTTGACAAACTTGAGGAATTTCAGTTTAATTTTGAAGTGCTGCCATGAGGAATAAAAGTTAGTTTA